GAGTGTGATGCATGCCAATTAGTTGCTACTTTAATAAACTTCTCAAGTGAAGAATCACCAACTAAAGTAGAATATGATGAAAATGGACAGTATAAAATAACAGGTAGATGCAATGTGGAAGGTGATTGGCAAATGAAGATAACTGCTGGAGGTGTGGACATCAAAGGGTCTCCAGTGAATATCAAGGTTGAAAAACTTGGACTTGTTCATATCATTGATAACATATCTGATTATGGAGAACATATCGAAGTGGCAGATGTAATATCAGATACAGATGGATATATTTTAGTATCAACCTTAAGTACAGATATATTGAAATTCAACCAATCAGGTTCATTTGTGGCTAAAATACAGGCACCACAGGATTTCCAGGTCAATGGAATGCATCAACTGGGTGATGGGCATGTGATATTTACTGATCAATTAGGAAAATGTGTAGTAATGTGTGATGATAAATTTCAAGAAATCCATTCATTTGGTAAAGAGATATTGGAGTGTCCACAAGGCTTGGCAGTAAACAAAGAAACTAGAGTCCTGTATGTAGCAGATTGTCATGCTGACTGTGTGTTTAAATTCAATGTTGATGATGGTACACTACTGGGTAAGATAGGTTCAGAGGGTAGTGAAGGAGGTCAAATGAATGAACCACAAGATGTCACTTTAACTAAGGAAGGTCATGTGATTATTACTGATTTCGGAAATAAAATAATACAAATTTTTAATACTAGTGATGAGTTAATTGGATTCCTTGCATGCTGTGGTGGGAAATATGGTTATATTGTTAGTCCTATTGCTGTATTGATGGATATGGACGAAAACATAATGGTATCAAGTGATGATAAATTACAATTATTTGATAAAAATGGTGTCTTCATAAAACGAATAGATCATGAAGATGATGGATTATATTTTCCAAGTGGAATCAGTATAATCTCCAAGAGACCAAGAAGAGTAGCTGTAGCAGACCATGCAGCAAACAATGTTAAAATATTCAATTATTAAAATGAAGATGAAATACATGAATCATAGTATTATTTACATTTCACATCTATTTTTATACATTAATGAATATGATTGGTTTTATCATGTACAGTAGTTTATATAAATCTATTACAATAGAACCTCAAATTTACGTACGGTACGGGACTGGAGGGCGTATGTAAATCGGGGGATTCGTAAAATAGTGGTTGGGTTAAATTTGTGGTAACCTTTGGCCTAATACGTACGTAACACTCAATATACGTATGTATGAATGAACGATGTTACCTAGCTAGGCTAGACCTACTGTAGCCTCTAGGCCTACGAATAAAACCATGTGTTTAGTGTTTTTATTCATCACTTTACGATGTCATAATAAAGTGTTCAAATAAAACCATGTGTCTAGTGTATATGTCTTTTATTTAACTAAAGAACATGAAAATATTTTAAGATTACCTATACGACAAAGGTATAACTTGGGAATTCCCCTTCACGCCTATTCTAAACAACAGAGCTGTGGTGTTTTCTGGCCTGTTGAGACAAACTAAACCCATGTGCACTGGGCGAGCCAACCAATTAGCGTTCGTGTACGTGAAACAGCAAAACCATGTGCACTGCACTGGGCGAGCCAACCAATTAGCTTTTGTGTACGAAACTATGCCTACTCAGCTTTGTGTAGAAAATTAGACCAGACAAGTTTTTCCATGGTTTGCCACATGAATTTAAGGAGGAAAGAAATTATTTTGAGCACCATCGGTAGTTGTTCATCTCACTCAGTTCACAGGGTTTTAGATTATAACAACCCGGTATTAGACTTAATCAACGTTGCTGTTTAATGAAAATATGTTGCATTATGGTTTGTTTATTGTTATAGTTTATAATCCTTTTACTTATGGTTGCTCTGAAAAGGGCCGTTTGTTTTGAATATTTCCGGGGTTTTTGATGACATCATCGTCGATACGAGGTGTACGTAAAACCGAGGGTTCGTATAACTGGAGTACGTAAAAACAAGGTTCTACTGTAATAATTTATAGTTATTTTACTGATAATTACAATAGAAAACTACATTATAATAAAAACATTGAGTAATTGTTAGAAAATAAATGCATAAATCACTACATATTATTAAATTGTTGTATTTGTATATCCACAAAATAAACCTCTTTTACTCCATTGATAAAGGACATTGAACATGAAGGATGTTTGATATTCTACCGCAAGTGAAAATAGACACAGAGAAGGATTCTATAATTTTATAGATTTTTAGTTATCTGCAGTTTTAGGAATACTTATTTTTGTAAAATTATTTTAACTTGTTTTTAGCTTTCGTTGTTCAAGTACTTGGATTATCGGTATGTTTTTGATCCTAGTTTGAACTACAATAATTGTTTTAAAGTTTATAATTCTTATTTATTATATTCTAGGGTCAACAATCAATAATAACTCTTATATAAATATATTTTAATGATTACAATTCATATTTAAAATAGGTTCACCAATGTAAGTTCTATCATTTCTAGGATGATAACTTTTATCTGTTTGAAAATTATCTTTTAATATGCATATTCAATTGTTGAGAAATAAAGAATTTTAAAATT